TTATTATTTTTTAATCACCTCGCCTGCCGTGCTCCCAAAGCCAGCACTTTGGATTTCAGCAGAGAGGCCTGACTCCAGGCAGTCTGCGTGCGTGCCAAGGCTCCAGACTCCAACCTTGAGGTCAGCACCCCCGCTTCTGCCCGAGGCAGGCCATGCCCAGAAGCCACCTATTCTGGGCAGGCGGAGCTCCTGCCCCTGCTTTCCCCCCAGGACCCCCAGCTCGGCGGGTCCAGCCCCCGAGTTTTGCCTGGCACGGTCTTGGCGCAGGTAGAAAGGTATGCGCCCTAGGCGCCCCAGCCCTCACCTCGGTGCCCTCGGCTCCCTTGGCCCAGGCCGTCCCCTTCCCTGCAGGTTCTCACAGAGAGCTGGCCATCCCTGCTTGCAGCTGGCTTAGTTGAGAAGGCGTGAGAGTCACGTCAGCAGTTTGGAGGAGAAAGTGCGGGTTGATTATTGACCCACGCCTTCTTTCTTCAAATGCCACATCCAACCCGGACGGTTTGAAGAGAAAATGCCGCCGAGCGGATTTTGCGGCCGGCTCTGGCCTCCTACGCGGCCCTGCTCCCCCTTTCAAGTTGCGCTGCAGCAATATGCCATAAGGAGCAAGTGTTTGCTGTTTTGTGCTCTGTTTACAGCGTTGGGGCGCCGAGTCATAAATCTTGCCCAGCCGTAAATGACAAAAACCATTGGTATGCATGAGGCCACCCTGGCCGGGAGTGCTTTTTGATTTCTCCCTTTTCCCTTGGCTTTGTTTTTGCTCTAAGGTGACACTTTGGCTCCCTGACAGTTTAAACATACTACTTATATTTTTAACACCTTCCTTTGAGGAGGACCGGCCGTTGACACCTTGGAATTGCACGAAAGCTCCATTTCTCTCTTTTTGCCACACACATACCCTTGCAGAGTTTGCTTCTGATTCTGGGGAATTGAGAGAGGCGAGAGAAGGGAGCAAGACTATCCTTCCTAAAGTCGTGGAAATATTGCCGGCACTAGCAGGCCTTTCCTCTGCTCAGCGTCCCTGTATATCACTAGTTGGGGAGTGGGGGTGGAATACCACAGATGTCAGTTGCAGTTGAGGTCAGAGCTTTATCGGTCTTTCCCTCTGAGTGACCTGCATGTTTGGACTGTGACACCCCCACACAAGAGCTGGACCCCGGGGTTTCTAGACTGGTGTGTGTACCTGAGTCCAGAGCTTCCCATTTCACTGCGCAAACACCGTGCATCTCCCCCGGGCTCCTTCTCTCCTGGCTGCCAGGATTTCAGTGTTTCTGCCTACCAACATAACCAAAGGTAGCCCCATTTGTTCTTTGGGAGGTCTCTCGAGAAAAGAGGCCCTATCCGAGCCCCCCACAGATTGGTTTTGAGGTTCTTCCTTGGGGTGGCAGGTGAGGTCAACTGCCCGAAGTCCGGGAAACTCTCTTCGCCTGTTTCTCTTCCTTGCCCCTCAACTGGAAGTGTCCAGGGCAGAGGGTTACATGGTTTCCCAAACATATTCCTACGAAATAGAGCCCGGCAAGAGATCCCCTTTGTGAGAGCCGTTTGTCCTCATTAGCATAATTTTCCAGGACTTTAGTGACGCCCAGGAGCGAGGAGAGGGAGGGCGTGGGGGTTGGGGGAGGCTGCCCTCCTCCCGCCACTGCCGAGCTCCCCCTCTCGCTCCCGGCCCTCCCCCCGTCTCAGCCCCATCCCCCAGGCCGGCCCGCGCAGCCCCAGCCGCCTCGGCCGCCCCTCCCGCCCGCCCCCAGCACCCCCCACCGCACCCCCTACCAGCCGCTGCTCCGCACGTAATATTCATAAGAAACATACCCAAGTCGGTGCCACCAGCCCAGGCAGAGCCCCGCGCGGTGCTAGCGCTTATCTCCGGCCCGCGGCTGCTGCCCTCGGGAAGGGCAGGGGGCGGGGGTGTGGGGGAGGGGTGGGTGGGTGGGGTGGGTGGGAGGGGGGGTCCAAGCCGCCCCATTCCGCCCTGGGCGAACCGTGCCGGAGCAGCGAGGCGGCCACGCTCTGCGTCGCGGTGTCCCGGCCTCCGGGTCTCCCTCCCGCCCGTGGTCTCGGCTGATGCTGAGGGTCGGTGCCCATCCCGCGCCGAGGGGACCGGCCGGGCCGCCGAGCCGGGCCGGAGCCCGAGCCTGCGCTCGCGGCGCTCGTCAGAAGTTAAGGTAAGCAGGGCCACCGCGGGCCGCTCTCAGCGCTGAATGGCGGAGTTTACGTCTCGGTGATTTATGGCCGCAGACTTAAATCTCGGTTCAAGAAGAGTTCACAAGCCGGAGCTTCCTTCCCGGCAGTGACTGATACCCTTACACTTCGAGTTCAGGCCGCTTTCCCATCCCCGCCCCCACCGCTATCCTCTCCCCTAGCCCAGCCGCAACTTTCCCGTGTTGGGGAGGGAGGGGTGGGCAGTGGGACGTGGGGGCTCTTACCCCGTGTTCCCACTTAAACTTGGGGTGAGGGCAGGCTGAGGAAGGGGCGGGAATGGAAAGAAGGAGCGGTGTCTGAAGGAAGGAGGTTGAATTTGGGCAGATCTTCCAGACAGACAATAGGGCTTGCTTCCTGTACTCAACTTAGCCTCCTCAACTCTATTTCAGCTCTTGCACCTGGGGTTCATTGTCCCGAAACGGACCTTTTAGGAGGAATCTCCTCTTATCCCCAGCCCTTGTTTGGGGGTGCGGAGCAAAGTTTCCTGGCTGGCAAATCTCCAGCTTCTCTACTAGGTTGCAAAGTTTGGGGGCTGAGTTGAGAGGTGGACCCTGTGGGCCCCAAGGTGGTTGTCTGCTGACCTCGGACAATAGGAAGTCCTTTGGTGGGACCTCGGAGGTGAATTCATATTTTAAGTTTACGGGAGTTGTTTACTCTCTGATTTTGAAAGGTATTGTTATTTTACAAGACGACACAAAACTTGATGAGAAGGCGTAGGTAAAAGGCAGGTGATGTTGCTGTGGTAATGGATTAGCAAGTCACTTGAAAGAGTGCATGTTCAAAATAACTTAATTTTGTTTTATCTAATATCTTGCTGTTCAAGTGTCTGAAGTAATTTTCTTAACCTGACGTTTTATTTTACACAGGCCTAGTATCTTAAAAATTTATAATGGCAGACATTAACACTGCCAAATGCAATAGGAACTGTTTTCAGTGAAAGAACAGGAAACAGACATTAAAGTGCTATTCAGATTTACATTTTATTTTACCATTTATTTATTTTTGATAATGGTATCTGTAGCTTTCTATCCATTTCCAAAAGAGAAACAATACTACGGGTCTCCAGATCACATACAGTAACTCTGGGTTAATGCATGCTGTAATTTTTAATTGAGGCTCTGGAAAATTAATCGTGCTATTTTGCAGATGTTGGTCAGTTTCTTGGTTTAATGAAATCCAAAGGAGTACATTATCAAAGACAAAATTACAGTATAATCATCCACTGGTACATGCTTATTACATTATTTTTTTCCTAGTTAACAAAGTGCTTGCTATTCCTGGAAAACTTGAATAACTCCAGGACTGAAATCCACACAGTTGGGGGTGTGATGTGTAAACCATTTTCTTCACGAATTTGTCATTGCAATTTTCTTAAATGGTCAGAGACAAACATTGTGAGTGTGTCAGAGTGTGAGTGTGAATATATGAACTCACGTGGAACTTTTCTGAGCAGAACCAGTGGTTGACCATGCAAAGGTTGAAAAAAAAAAATGAAACAGATTTTACTTCTGCAAAGTGCTTTCTAAATAAAAAATAGTTAAGAAGGCTTTCAATTGCTTTTTAGACTTCTAGGGTTGCCCTTTACTTGGTGTTTCTGAAGCAGGTAAATAGGCCAAGTAACAAATACCAACAACAACAGCATCAGCAGCAGCACACAAAGATCAGGGAACTCTGGCAGGATTTTATGGCTGGTGCTTCCATCCCTTGTCCGGAGCCAAATGACCCCCATACATCAAATTACACAGCAGTTTCTAAGACAGAATCTATTATCGTTAAGTTGGAAGGAGAGTTCAAGCCGTGGTCATGGAGATGAACGCTGGTTTTTCAGGTTCCTGGTGGGTTGTTTTTTTCTCTAATCCATCATGTTTTAACAGGTAGAATTTGATAGTTGCTCTGAATAACAGCACCTCAGAAAGTCCAAGGCAGGAGGGTCTGGGGACCTTTTGTAACAGAGGGGAAGAGGTAGGAATGGCTTGCTGGGACATGCCTGAGAAACAGGAAAAGAAGAGGAGTAAAAAGCTGTCCAGATTTGAGTTTGACTTGCTGGAGTGGGTGTTGGTGGTCGTCCCTTCCCACACAGGATGCTCCATCTAAAGTTTTCTGTCTCCCCTCTTGGCCACAAGGGGCTCATTCGGAGGTGAGTCCCATCCCCGCACAAGGGTAGACGGCCTAACAATCTCAGCTTCTGAAATCCAGTAGGGTCCAGCGGGGCAGTTGCCTGATTTTTTTTTCTTGTGTGCATACCTCTCTGGTTCTGGAACGTCCAAAAAGGGGCTGGATAGAATGTCACACCCATGTCAGGGCTCTTTTGGCAAATGTAAGTCCTAAAGCAAAGAGAGGAGGAAGAAAATTGGAGACACAAGCTCCCCTTTGCCTCCTTGCTCCTTCCCCACAATTTCTACAGGGAAGGAGTCGCGGGGCTTGCCGGATGCAGCCAGGGAGAAGGGAGGAAGGGACACCCCGAATTTCTTCTTCCCTGGAAAAGAAGGATCCCAACCCCGTTCCTTTCTAGCCCATCAGGCCTTCCTTGCTTTGGACTCCAGCTCCCGAGACCAGGCTTCCAACCCTCACTCACTCTTTTCTCTCCCCGGAAAACCCCCCAACCCCAGACGCAAGTTAAGCAAATATTTGTAGCCGCCAGTAAATTCCAGCGGCTTTTTATAGCGCGGCTCTCTGCGCCCGGGGCCAAGTCGTGCTGCTAAATATTGCTGACCACTTTTTCTTTTATGGCTTTCATGTCACTTAGCTATTGAGAGTAAGATGGATTTGCGCGGAGCCCTCACCGCGCGGCGATTCTCACCCCCCAGGTCTGCGCCGGGCGGCCATTGGCGGCGGAGCGTCACGTGACTGCGGGGGCGTGCCAATGTGCGCCCTCGCGGGTGTCAAGCCCCTGTCAGAGTGTGCGATCAAGACCGTGAAACAACGCGATGCAAAAAGCGACCTACTACGACAGCTCCGCGATCTACGGTGGCTACCCCTACCAGGCAGCCAACGGGTTCGCTTATAATGCCAGCCAGCAGCCGTACGCGGCGTCTGCGGCACTGGGCGCCGAGGGCGAGTACCACCGACCCGCCTGCTCGCTCCAGTCACCTGCCAGCGCTGGGGGCCACCCAAAGGCGCACGAGCTGAGCGAGGCATGTCTGCACACCCTGAGCGGCCCGCCCAGCCAGCCCCCAGGCCTGGGCGAGCCGCCCCTGGCCCCACCGCCGCCCCAGGCCGCGCCCCCTGCCCCTCAACAGCCTCAGCCACCACCACAGACCCCTGCTCCGGCTCCTGCCGCGCCCCCGCCCCCGTCTTCAGTCTCCCCACCTCAGAATGCCAGCAGCAACCCCACCCCTGCCAGCGCGGCCAAGAGCCCCCTACTCAACTCACCCACCGTGGCCAAACAAATCTTCCCCTGGATGAAGGAGTCTCGCCAGAACACAAAGCAGAAAACCAGCGGCTCCAGCTCAGGTAAAGAGGTGCCTTCCGGAGCAGGATCCTCTAACCTGGCTCCTGGTCCTCCAGGCCACCTCCAGGCACAGGCAGCATGGCCTGGAGCGCCGGAATATTTCCAAGGATTCACTACTTCTCTATCCACCCTGCACAGGCTTCCAGAGTCTTTGCCACTAGGGAGGTGATGGGACTCTGTGTGCTCAGGGAACCCCAGAGAGAGACCTAATGGAAGCCTCTCTGGACTTCTGCAAGAGCAAGTGGGGCCTAGTGAGTTAGGAGTCTCTTCGTGTTCCACCTTTCTTGCAGTGAGGACCTTTGTGCGGAACAAACGGGAGCTAGCACAACTCGTTTTTAATGAACTAGTGACACCCACTCCACACTGAAATGTGGCCCAATAAAAGCAGGCCTAATCACCCTCCAATTCAGAATCAATACTTTGCTTATCATCAGAGCCTATTTTAAATTTTTGCTCCAGCAGATGGAGTGGCTGTCTGCCTTACCACTGGGAAGGCCCTCCTCAGACTTAGCACAATGAAGGCAGCCAGGGATCTCCTGGGGGAGGGGATTCAGACTTGTCATCCTAATGGGAACCACATGGGCTTCCTGGAACCTGACTCCAGAGGATGATAGGCCCTGGGTCTTGCGGCTTCCCAGTATTCTTGATTACTATTGCCCCTGCCTTTTCCAGTTGCCAGTGCTGTCCTGAGAATCTAGGACCTTCCTGAGCCACGATTTGGAGGCCAGGGAAGACAGGAGGTCACAAGATTAGTAAGCAAAGCTGGGGCAGGCTGCTGGAGAACATGGAGAACCCTAAGTAATAGGGCACAGCATCAGGGGGTCTGGGCCTCCCCACTAGAGATGGATACTGTTAATGGGAACCTCTTTCTTTGGGCAGAAGAAGCTTCCAGACTGGGGCTTCTACTCCACCCATCTCCACCGAGGAGGTTAAATAAGTGGCCAGTTGAGGTAACTGTCCAGTCTTTCAGACAGACAGTGAATGAGGGGAAGGTTTATTGAGCATATATTAGGTGGCCCACATTTCATTTGTGAAGGGGATGAAGGTGGTGAGAGCTGCCCATGGGGAGCTTTAGTCTGGTAGGCCTGCAGGGTCATTAAAGGAGTCAGAAAGTGAGTAGCTCCAGGAAGGAAATAACAGACCAGGAAGGCAAACTGGAGGTTCTGTTTTCTTTTCCTTTACCGCCCCCCCCCCCCAATTGGAGAAGGCTGATTTACAATTTGGCTGAATGAGGGGCTAGCTACCCAGCTCCCAGCACTGTCCAGGACGGAGGACAGCACCTAGTTCCTCCTCCCCCTTTCTGAGCCCTGACAAATGGAGGGCTCTTTAGGGTCTGGAGCCAGGAGGAGCCTGGTTAGGTCAGGGACTGGGTGGGGTTGCGGAGCTGCCCCTGATGCCACTCTTCCTCTACTCTTCTGTTCTGGCAGGAGAGAGCTGCGCGGGCGACAAGAGTCCGCCTGGGCAGGCGTCCTCCAAGCGGGCGCGCACGGCCTACACGAGCGCGCAGCTGGTCGAGCTGGAGAAGGAATTCCACTTCAACCGCTACCTGTGCCGGCCACGCCGGGTGGAGATGGCCAACCTGCTGAATCTCACCGAGCGCCAGATCAAGATCTGGTTCCAGAATCGCCGCATGAAGTACAAGAAGGATCAGAAGGGCAAGGGCATGCTGACGTCATCAGGGGGCCAGTCCCCAAGTCGCAGCCCTGTGCCCCCGGGAGCAGGCGGCTATCTGAACTCTATGCATTCGCTAGTCAACAGTGTTCCCTACGAGCCCCAGTCGCCCCCGCCTTTCTCCAAGCCCCCTCAGGGCGCCTACGGGCTGCCCCCTGCCTCCTATCCTGCAGCCCTGCCCAGCTGCGCACCGCCACCCCCACAGAAGCGCTACACAGCCGCGGGAGCAGGGGCAGGGGGCACACCCGACTATGACCCGCACGCGCATGGCCTGCAGGGCAACGGCAGCTATGGGACCCCACACTTACAGGGAAGCCCCGTCTTCGTAGGGGGCAGCTATGTGGAGCCCTTGAGCAACTCTGGGCCGGCCCTCTATGGCCTAACTCACCTCCCTCACGCCGCCTCGGCCACCATGGACTACGGGGGTGCTGGGCCGCTGGGCAGCGGCCACCATCACGGGCCCGGGCCAGGGGAGCCGCACCCCACTTATACGGACCTTACCGCCCATCATCCTTCTCAGGGAAGAATTCAGGAAGCCCCCAAGCTCACCCACCTGTGATGGTGGGCTCGGGGCTGCGCGCCAGGAGAGCCCCCCCTTCCCCTTTCCTCCTCCTTTGCTTTTTTTGTTTTAAGGTTCTCCCTGCCCCTCCCTTTTCTCTCTCTCTCTCTCCTCTGCTCCCTCCCCTCTCCCCGTTTTGTTTTCTTCGGTAACTCGTTTTTATAGTTTTTGTGACGTAGCAATCTTGGTTGCTGGAATGGCTGTCTGTATCAGTAGCGATATTTATCTCCTCCCGCCCCTCGTCGGCCGCCGGCCCTGCACCCTCGACCTTCTCTACTCTTTGATCAGAAACAGGGTATATGAACAAATTTTCTAGCCGAGTTCTTCAATGTGAATTTGTTCGTACATTATGGCTCCCGAGGGGACGCGATTACTTTTTTTTAATTTTAGTTTTTTAATTGCACTTCTTGTAAAGAGCGAGAAAAAAAAAATCAAAGGCGCTTTGAGACAGGGACCCCCTGTGCAAGGTTAACTACGTGTACGTCTTTCCGTGTGTGTATGCTGGTGAACAGTCAGATTTATTTATATTTTTTTTGCAAGCATTGAATAATCTAAGTTTTAAATATTATTTATCCCCATCCGTTCGTATTTATATTAAAGAAATTCTGTACCCTGATTGTTCAGAAGGTTTCTTGGGCCTTTTGTTCAATAGTGTATTGGCGTACATAGGAAATTTTTTATTTGAAAGGGAAATGTAATTCCTTTATAAAAAACGGTAATGATGCAATAATACCAGAGAGGATCCAGCTTTCGAAAAGCGGTGATTTAATTTGTAACATCCGGCGAAACTGAAGAAAACAATCTGTAAACGTGAAAAATGCTACATTTGTTTTGAGAGTTCTACATTCCTTGCTGCTCACACTCTGAGAAACAAAACAAAAAAAATAAAGTTTTTATTCTGAATAATATCCGCGTTCGGAAGGGGTTCTTTGACCGAAGATGGGGGTCTGCGTGGAATGGAGACGAACCGGCGGAGCAGGCCGCAGCCGCGCTGCAGCTCCGGCCGGGCCTGGCGGGGCAGCTCGACTCGTAGAACGGCGAATTCCCCGGAAGGCAGCCGGAGCTCCAGGCGGCTGCAGCTCTGGAGACGCCGAGCGGCCAGCCCGCTGGGCCGCCTGGTTCCCAGCTGCCACAGAGGCCGGCAGCGGGCACAGGGGCTGCGGAGAGCTGACTGTAAGAGAAACAAAGGCAGCGGCCCAGGCGCAGCGGGGGGCGCACAGGTGCCGGACGGCCCCACGCGGGAGTCAGCGGGCTGTCTCCTTGTCCTCGATCTTCCTCCGGTCAAAGCCTTCTGGTCCACATCTCAACCTGGGGAATCGCCGAGCACTTTCCAGGAGCACCCGGACTCTCCGCGGATGTTTCGTGGTCCTTCATCAAACCAGGAGGGAAGAATCACTTCTAAAATTGCCATTAGGAGCGAGGCGGCTGGAAAGAGACTGAGGTTCACCCAGATCCCCAGCCCAGGAAAGGCTGAGCCCTTCCTCCGACCGCTCAAGTCCCAGCATCGGCTTCCTCCTGGAATTTAGGATTTGGCTTTCTCTGGATTTATTTCCTCTCCTTCTTCACTCCCTGGTTTCTTTTTATGGCCCCAGGGGGAGGGATAGAGAGAGAGAAGATTAATGTCTTTTTAATAAAAACGCAATTTTATAAGTACTTGTTTCATTTGATGCTACAGGAGCTAAATATTACATTTCTATTCCTGGGCTGCCGACTGGCTGGCTGGCAGAGGCAAAGGCAGGCGCAGGGAAGGGAAATATTTTCATCTTCAGAGCAAAGAATTGCTCAGAACATTCAGAAAGTGCAGACCTCCAAACTGCATCCCCATCAGCATCCTCCTTTAAAGCTGGAAATGAGGAACTACCTGCATCCGGGGATCAGGAACCTCTGATGTGACAAATAAATCCCCCCTTCTCCTTGAATTCTGTGGCTGAGGCAGAGGAGGGAAATGTCGCCATTTTGTTTGCAATCCAAAATACTCATCTTCGTGGCCTCTGTCTTTCCCCCCCAGAAGCTCCCTCAGATAATTTTTAGAAACAGGAACTGGAGCCATTTCTGGGTACCTGCAGGAGCTGCTTTTAGGGAACCTCCACACATTGTAAGAAAAAGAATAGGGATCAGAAGATGCAAACCTAGGCAGTAAAGATCTGGGTGTTTCTCTCCCAGCCAGAGGTGCTTCCCCCCCATCTGTCCTGGGTCTCCATATATACAGCTAAAGACTTTGGGCTATGAAAGAAGTGCACTGGGCTGAAGGTGGCACCTTCAGCACCCCCGCTAAAATGGGGCACATCTCAAAAATAGAGAGGCTGGAAAATTAGTTTTTGTAAAGACTGGAGCTTCCGCCCTTTGGGTTGTTCACCTCTAAATGAAGCAGGCTGAACAGATTCAAGAATCTTCTTTTAAGTAATAATTTTACAGAGGTGCAGGGGGGTGGGCTGGGATGGGAGTAAAAAACAGAAAACTGTACTTGAACAATAATTAAATTAATTTTAAAAAAAGAAGAAGAAAGAGGTGCACAAGATTAAAATTACCTAGGAAAATAAGGAAGAGTGGAGGGTCCACCCAGAGAGAGGAATATCTTTCAGAGATTCTACTATTGGAACCCACTTCTAAAATCTACTATTTAGCTGAGGGATGACTGGCTGGGAGACTTCCTCCTTCCCCCAGGGCAGAGTTTTTAAATGAGATTCCAATATGATTTTCCACATCTTGCCAGTCAAGACATTCATTTTGGCTTTCAAAGCAAAAACATCCATCTCACCCCCAGCTTCCTAGATATTAAAAAGAAATCCTTATTAAAATATCTCCTGAGTTAAAGTAATAGATTTGGGGAAGATTCCAGTGTTGAATGGTGAAAGAAAAGGGTTTTCTTCCAGATGGTATTTGAATTAAGGCCGCTGAAGCAGCAGAAAGCTCTCACCCACGCAGCCCCTGACAAAGCCTTGGTGATACAAGGGCAGCACTGCTCCCTCTCTGTAGCCCCCCCCTTAACCCCTCAATATTTTCTGGTAAAAGCAAAAGCCAAAAGCTGCCATCCCAGAGTCTGCAAAGCACCTTTCCTAATAGCGGCCTTATAACTCTATCTGCTGCCAAAAAAATATCTTTAAAAAGACTAGTTTTCCTTGTTTACTTGCGTTTCCTGCTCTCCTCTTTGCTCGGCCACATTTGATCTTGGAAAGAGCTCGAAGCTGAAATGTGTTCTCAAGGGCTAGAAGCTGTCAAGGCTTTTGGTGAGCAAGATTGATCGCGCCCAGACTTCCTTCAGAGCTTTGTTTGGAATAAAAGCAAGAAAACTGAAAAACCTCACATTTTCCAAAATAGCATCTCTATCTGTAAGGCAATGCTCTGAGCTAGTCAACGACGGAGGCCACTTTATATCTAATTTCCAACCCAAGCCCCCTCTGATGCCGGCTTCAGAGATGGAGTCCTGTCCTTGCGCCTTGCACGGCCTTGCTTGTTTTCTACATAGGGCTTTCTCCCGCCAACCTCTCTGTCCCTAGCCATCAGAATGATTTATTTTCCTGCCACCGATGCCTGCCGCTCTGGGCGAGTCTGATCACTTGGTCCATTTCAAAGGGAGCAAACGGGAATTATCATCCTCGGGGTTTTGGGGGAAAGAGATACCTTCAGATTTCTCAGCCTCCAGCCTCCTCCCTCCCTTCCAGCTTGGTGGATTTTTTTAAAGTTTTTTTTTTTTTTTTTTTTGCTGGGGGGGGGTATCTAAAGGTGTTATCTTTTGAACCCTCCAGCACAGTCCAAGATGTGCTCAGTCTCAAGTCTCAGAATTGGAGAAAAGAGAGAGACAGAGAAAGAGAAACATTATAATTCCTCCTTGGGTCGCCTTGTCTCACCTGCGGTGCTGGTTCCTACGACAGAACCTGAGTGCACACATCCTTGGTGGCCAAGGAGCAGGAAGGTGCAGGAGACAATTGGGGCGGCCGGGGAGTACTCACTGCATCTGAGCCAACAAGCCCCCAATCAGAGCGACAAGGAGTAGGGGAGAAAAGGAAAAGAGAAGCAGGCGCCTTCTCCCTCCCTGCTGCTAACTTCCAACAGACTTCCTGGAAATCGGAAATACTCACCGCACCCGAGCCCTACGGGTATGAAACCCAGAATGCCAGGAGCCGCACACGCCTGCTCCGGGGCGGCATTTCTTTGGCTGGCCGCCGCCCTGGCTACAAGGATTTGAACACATGGACCTGGGTTTGTTGTCTTGCTTGGCACATGCATCTATCTCTCTCCAGCCACTCCTGAAAAGTTGATGGCGCAGGAAGATGGGGAAGCTTCCAGAGCAGCCTCCCGTTTTCCGCTTCCTCCTGGAGCCAGACGCAAAGCTGCGGTGGAAAAGCCGGCTAACAATGGGCCCGGGTCGGGTCTGGGGGAGCGGACCGGGAGCTGGGCATTGGGAGGGGTACGAGGAGGGCCTGCGGATGTGGGGAGGGAAGTGGACAGAGGAGAGGGAGGGGGAGAGGAGAGAGGAGGGCGAAAAAGAGGGAAAGACAGACAGAAGACAGAGACAGAGAGATCAGTTTTGAGATCCAGGAAATGATTTTGGAAAAGGCGGAGGAGAAAAATTAAAAAGGGGGGTCCCAAGAATCTCTCTCTCTCTCTTTCATATCTCTCCTCTCCTGCTCCTTCCTCCTGCCTTAGTAGAACTTATGCGGTTGGGATGGGGGGGCCCTCGGGTGTCAAAACTTTGAAGATTAATGGATTACTTTGTTAATGACTGCAGGCGTCAGACGGAGGTGCTTAAATGATTTGTGAGGTGCGAGGCGTCTTCCCGACAGTCCCAAACAATGCGCGGAGCGCGCGGGGGAGGCAGAGGGCAGCCTCCGGCGGACCGGCAGCAGGGCTCGCGCTCGCACGCTCGCACGCACCGCCAGGCGCGCACCCCAGGTCCTCGCGGATGGGAAGGCAGGCAGGCACCCTCGCCCCCACGCACTGCCGGGCATCCCCACCCACACCCTCATCTATGTATTTTTGCCCAGAAAAAAGTGTAAATAAAGCCTCGCTGGCCCCCAATGAGGCGTTCCTTCCCGACTTTTTTGGATCAATCAAACAGACAGTGGCTTCTTTTGATTAAAGCCCAAATTGTCATTGGGCAGAAGCAATCATGTGACAGCCAATTCGGTCCAATTTCAACCTTGTCTCCATGAATTCAATAGTTTAATAGTAGCGCGGTCCCCATACGGCTGTAATCAGTGAATTAGAAAAAAAACACCCCAGCAGCGATCTTCTATGATAGATTTTTTTTTCCCTCCGCACTCGCCTTTTTCCTGGGCCTCGCCCCCCCAAAGCCCCTCCAGAAGAGGGAACTTTTTCTCCGAGGGGGCTCCAAGGAGAAGGCCATGAATTACGAATTTGAGCGAGAGATTGGTTTTATCAATAGCCAGCCGTCGCTCGCTGAGTGCCTGACATCTTTTCCCCCTGTCGCTGATACATTTCAAAGTTCATCAATCAAGACCTCGACGCTTTCACACTCGACACTGATTCCTCCTCCTTTTGAGCAGACCATTCCCAGCCTGAACCCGGGCAGTCACCCTCGCCACGGCGCTGGCGGCCGCCCCAAGCCGAGCCCCGCGGGCAGCCGCGGCAGCCCAGGGCCCGCCGGCGCCCTGCAGCCGCCCGAGTACCCCTGGATGAAGGAGAAGAAGGCGGCCAAGAAAACCGCGCTGCCGCCCGCCTCGGCCGCCACCACCACTGGCCCTGCCTGCCTCGGCCACAAAGGTCAGTCCGAAGACGTGGCCCCGGGTCCCGGGACCCCGGGCCCCTTCGGGGCTGCCCCGAGAGCGGTTCTGGGGGGGAGGGGAGCGTGGGCTGGGAGGAAGGCGGAGAGGGAGAGATGCTTGGCTGCCTTCCCTTCCCCTGTGGGCTCAGAAGTGGGTTTGATGGAGAGAAAAGGCATCCTACGCTCCACAATGAGACATATATTTTTAAGAAGGGGGGGAGGAACTTTCCCTAACTTGTGTAATGTGGGATGATTTATTTGAGTTGGAACTGACCTCCTCTTGTCTCGTTGTCCTAGAGTTTGGCTTTTTGACAGTAATGAAGAGTGATAGATCGCTCTTGCTCAGCTAAGCAGCTGATGCATTAATTATAAATTGTGGTGTGGGTAATATAAAGTTTGCTCCCGGATGCAGAGGTTGGGGGGAGCTGCAGGCAGGAGTCGGACGGAGGTGGAAGAGATGGGGTCTCCCCGGGCTGGGCGCCCAGGGAAGGCGGCACAATAGCCCTCCTGCATCCAGGGGCGGCCATCTTGTTGCCGTTGATCTTTTCTGCTGCATTTATTCTCTAGTGCAGTCACCCCTCTGCGGACCCCTCCACCTCCAACTGTGAGTGTGTCTTTTCTCGGTTTCCCTCTCCGCAGAATCCCTGGAAATCGCGGATGGCAGCGGAGGGGGCTCGCGGCGCCTGAGAACTGCTTACACCAACACGCAGCTTTTAGAGCTGGAGAAAGAATTTCATTTCAACAAGTACCTCTGCAGACCCCGGAGGGTGGAAATCGCAGCGCTGCTGGATTTGACTGAGAGACAAGTGAAAGTGTGGTTTCAGAACCGGAGGATGAAGCACAAGAGGCAGACCCAGTGCAAGGAGAACCAAAACGGCGAAGGGAAATTTAAAAGCCTGGAAGACGCGGAGAAAGTGGAAGAGGACGAGGAAGAGAAGTCCCTCTTTGAGCAAGCCCTCAGCGTCTCCGGGGCCCTTCTGGAGAGGGAAGGCTACACTTTTCAGCAGAATGCCCTCTCTCAGCAGCAGGCTCCCAACGGACACAATGGCGACTCCCAAAGTTTCCCAGTTTCGCCTTTAACCAGCAATGAGAAAAATCTGAAACATTTTCAGCACCAGTCACCCACTGTTCCTAACTGCTTGTCAACAATGGGCCAGAACTGTGGCTCTGGCCTAAACAATGACAGTCCCGAGGCCCTCGAGGTCCCCTCCTTGCAGGACTTTAACGTTTTTTCCACAGATTCCTGCCTGCAGCTTTCAGATGCAGTCTCGCCCAGTTTGCCAGGTTCCCTCGACAGTCCTGTAGATATTTCAGCTGACAGCTTTGACTTTTTTACAGACACACTCACCACAATCGACTTGCAGCATCTGAATTACTAAAAACATTAAAGCAAAAACAAAGCATCACAAAACAAAACCCCTTTGACCAGGTGGTTTGGCCTTCTTTTATTCTGAGAGTTGATTTTTATTTTATTTTTTTCTTGACCTACCCTCTCCCTCCTCTAAATGTTGAAGATTTTCTGTTTAGTGATTCCCCTGACCCACTTTCAGAGGCATCTTTTACAGATTATTTTGGAGTTTTAGTTGTTTTAAATCTAATCCAACAACCCTCTATGTGATTTACTGAAAGCAATATATGAGGCCTGCAAGAAAGTGATCATATAATTGTATCTTCACTTTCTTTTTATTTTTGTATTACATTAGGATGCATTGTCATGCGTATTTTTGGTAGAATAAATTCTCCTTTGCTATAAGTAGCTTTCTTATTTTTTTCTCCCCCTCTTTCTCCAAGCTCCTAACGGTTTCTTTTTCTTCTTTTAGTCTAACTTGGTAAATAAAATTCTGGTCACAATTCATCTTCTTTTTTCAATTTTAATATATTTACTAAGGGGGTATGAGCAAAATCTTCAATAGGCAGCAACAAAAAAGAAAGCCAGGAAAAGGTTAGGGTATCTGAGAAGTGATTTTTTTTTTAAGGGAATGAATTTGGTTTTTCAGTGTAGAGGTTCAAGCTATCGGTTTAAATTGGTAAGAGAAAGAGGATTGGGCAGCCTCAGTGTTGGGCCAAGCCCGGCCTTCTGAAAGTGGAGAAATAAAGTGCCTCCAGAAACCCACGACTCCAGGAACATGGAGTTTCTTTAACAAGCTACCAGTCTCCAGGACAATAACTAAGTTATAAACAATTCATTTATTTATACACATTTGTTTCAAACATCTACATTCCAACTCCTCCCCCACAAATCCTGAACATTTCCAGTGTTGTTGATTAGTCTCCCAGCTGTTGATGGGTCCAGGCAAATAAACCTAAAAGACAGAGAACAATAAAAATAAAAGAAAACGATGGTCACTAGCTGGCAAATACACTTCAGAAAAGATTCTTTCCAATCCTCTGGTTCAGTCATTCTAGGATTCTTCCCCCCCCCCCCAAGGTCAGAAAAATCAATATTTCATTCTTAAATCTGTTTACACAGCAAATAATGGAGCATTAGAAGTTTGAAGTCAGGTTAGCAAGTTGAGGTTTAAAACGAAGTGTTTCTGAACCCTAAGTTATAAATTAACCAGCTTCTAGAAAAAGACGGCGACAAAGCACTTTAAATTAAATATCAATAAAACGTGATCTAGGGCGTGTTACTGGGCTGTTCTGTTTTTGCCCCCTTCTTGTGTCTCCCCACGCTCGCCTCTCCCTTCCTGAGCTCTGCTCCGGCCGCTACTTACCGTGAGAAAACGCAGCGCGTAAGCAACATGTGTTGGGGGCGGGTTGATTTAAGAACCTTGCTCTTAATAGCACAGGCTTGGAAATGATACTGAAACCGGGATCTTCCTCCAAGGTTTCGCTCTCTTCCTTCCCCCACACCTTTGCCCCCTAAATCCCGGTAGCGGCGGAGGCGCGTGAGGACCGCGGCTGGTCTCCTGCCCCCCCGGCTCGGCACCGCTCAGGGCGGCCGGGCAATGGCCAGAGCTGAGCCGCTGCTGTTTGCGATTCGTCCTGCGCTCATAAATCAAACGCTTTCTATGAATGAGAATGTCATCAAAGAGATCAATTGCAGGAACACATGCACAAATAAAAATCCTCTTACGTATTTGCCGGGGATCCCCGTCCGAAAGCATTAAGTTAGAAGGCGTTTAGTCATAATTCATTTTTATTGCTCTTTTAAAACAACAGCTTGGACGAGCCGCGGATGCCAGGAACAGCTCGCGGCCTCGGCGGCGTTTGGTCTGCTGCTCTCTCGTTCCCTTTCTAGTAGAAGAGCCCGGAAAGAGGCGCTTGCAGCAGTGCAAGCTGCTCGCAGAGGGTCATTTAAATAGTAACCAAACTACCCTTGCACACACTCTCCCTGGGCTTTAAAGGTATTTTAGCTCGAGTCTTGAAGCGCTGGCCTACTTGCCGGGAGGACGGAGGGTCTCCTACAAGGTAGAATGAGCCCCAGGATTTCATGGGGGTGGGGAAGGACCCGAGCTACGGAAGCCTGCGGGCTCGAGGCCAGGGAGGCCGTCTTTGTGAACGGCGCTGGGAGATCTGCGCTCAGGGCGGCCAGCCGGGGCGGAGCCGGCGCGGCTGCCAGAGTCCGGCCGGCCGGGAGCAGTGCGAGGCCGCGGGTGGGTCGCCGAGCCCGGGCGCAAGCCTGTGTTTCCAAGAAGTGCACCCACCCCTTCTGGCCGTGAGGAGAGCTGTGCGGGGAGGAAGAGAGTCCGAGAGGAGCGCAGAGGCGAAGTATCAGAAGAAGGAGAGCAGTTGTGGCCAGGGGTGGCTTTGTGGCACAAGCTTGTGGCCGAGGGGGTCACGTAAACGGGCGCCTTGGAGGGCAAGAAAGGGCCAGAAATGAAGCCAAGGGGGAGAACGTACCGACGAGCTGCAGTTCGGAGAGCAGATCCTCCGCACTGTCAGCACTGATTCCCTCAGGTCCCGCCTCCCCACCCCCCACCCCGCCCCACAGGAGCCCTGTTTCTCCCCAGTGCCGGAGGCCTGGGCGCTCCCATGGAAGCCGCCTCCAGGAGGGCCACCACGCCTGTTCCTTTCTCCAGGATGAAGTTCCCCAGGTGCTGAAACTGGGGCAGGAGTGACTTTTCCTGCTTGTGTTCCCTCTTAAACGTGATGGGGGATAGGTCAAAGGTCATATAAATACCTTTTCAAAAGAAAATGTTTAGGGAAAAAGGATTTTTTGCTACTGACGGGAGTCCATAATCAAATTTCTGCAAGTTTTCCCTTGGGGTGAGGGCAGGTTTTGGAGGAAGTTCTATATATGTGAAGAACAGAACGCAGAAATCTGAAAGGTTCACTAACACCCCTGAAATGTGTTTGCTGGCCTTAAGCAAGACTGCCTTCTTCCAACTGGGAAGGGAAAACTACAGGGGCATGTGATCCCCAGACCCACATACAATCCTCAGATAAATTTAATCTGTAGGATTCAGATGAGTAAATATGGTCAGTGTAAGGTCTACACATCATCGGTTGCAAAGCTTCCTGGATGATTTCTGGATTTCTTCTACCTTAGAATGCATCACCTCTCAGCCTGGGCCTCTGCTTGGCCTTTTCTCTTTACAAGCCAAGGGTTGACAAGAAACCTAATGGTAAACAGCGATTAATGGCCCATCAGCATCAGGGTGGTAGGAGGGTGATGGAGAACAGGACCCCTGGCCTGGGGTGACGCTCAGATTTGAACGCGTCTCTCTAGGGAAAGACTTGAAAGTTCACACAAGGAACTACGCAGTCAGTTACAAGGGAGAGGAGGTGTTGTTGGGAAAGAAAATGTTCCCTCCACCATCAGCCATCTGTGTACCGCCCCCCCCCCACCGCCCCACCTACCAGCCCACACTCCCACTTCAGATGTGCAATAGAATGGGTGTGTATGTGCATAAAGGAAGTTCAGTCAACTCCTGACATTCTTCCCTAAGAAAACCAGAAACGTCGCAGAGGGTGGGGGAGGGTAGACAGCGTACTTTGTGGGAGCTGTGGTCTGGCCCTTTGAGATCCCCGTCAGACCGCGCAGGCTCCTAGGTCCGGCGGAGCCGCCAGATGGCCTGCAGCGTAGGGCCCGGCCCCCACGCTGGCCACGTCCTCTAGCGTCATCTCCCCCCTCCCCCCCCGCAAAATCCAGTGGCCCAGCAGCTCCGCTTCTGTCAGACTCCCAAAGCAAAGCTGAGTGGGGAGGAGAAAGGGGCGGAGAGCGAGCAGAGAGGGAGGGCAATGAACCGGGCCAGCCCCGGCCTTTTCCGGCAGGCTCAGCTCCCAAGGCTCACCCGGCTATCAGGCATCGAATTACAAAAGCTTTGCATTGCCACACTAATAGTGTGGGGGAGAAGGGGTGGAGGTAGGGAGCTTCCAAGACCTCCGTGGAGAAAGAAAGTTTCTTTTCTTGTCCACGTCTTCTCCACGCCCACCCAGGTTCCTTTTAGTCAGTCATCTGCGGGCTTTATTACTCATTGGAGCCTGGAGAGCTGGTGGCCCAACCTCGTTCTACGCCACGGCGCTCCGCGCTGCCCGCGGCCCCAAGGCACCGCAGCGGGGACTGCAGGGAAAGCTCCCGGGGAGCTCGGGCAGTGTTGTGGGCTGGGTTCTAGCCCTTCCTGCTCGGCGCGACCCGAGCTCTGGCCCACTGATTCCCCACCCAAAAGAGCGCGGAACCCTCTTCCCTTCTCACCTCTCGTCAGTTCATCTTTCCTGTGCGGTGGGGAAGAGGGCGGAGACGGGGTGGGGGAGATGCCTCCCAGCCCCCACCTCCCAGAGGAAGGGGGGGGCGAGCGGAGTCGGCGCTCTCGGAAGGCAGGCTCCGCTCCCCTTCGCCCCAGCGCTCCGAATCTGCCCTTGCAGCCACCGCAGCTGCGGCCGCCGCCTGGGCCGCCTGGGGGGGCGACTGCGCATCACCTAGACTGAGGAGCGCCTGGGATTTAAATGCCACCGAAACGGTGATCCATCACTGCGGGAGCCAGCAAACTTTCGCAGGAGGCTCCGCCATTGGCTGCCAAGGTCACGTGCCTGCCGTAGAGCCCTCCGCCCTCCCGCCCCCCCCTCCTGCGCACTGTACATTCATATCATTTTTCTTCTCCGGCCCCATGGAGGAAGTGAGAAAGTTGGCACGGTCACCCAGGGCTTCTCGGGACCCAGTCACTCAGTGACAGATGGACAATGCAAGAATGAGCTCCTTCCTGGAATACCCCATTCTCAGCGGTGGCGACTCGGGGACCTGCTCTGCGCGAACCTATCCCTCGGACCATGGAATTACAACTTTCCAGTCGTGCGCGGTCAGTGCCAGCAGCTGTGGCGGCGACGACCGCTTCCTAGTAGGCAGGGGGGTGCAGATCAGCTCGCCCCACCACCACCACCACCACCACCATCACCACTCCCAGCCGGCCACCTACCAGACTCCTGGGAACCTGGGGGTATCCTACTCCCACTCGAGTTGTGGTCCAAGCTACGGCGCGCAGAACTTCGGCGCGCCTTACAGCCCTTACGCGTTAAATCAGGAAGCAGAAGTAAGTGGTGGGTACCCCTCGTGCGCTCCCGCTGTTTACTCTGGAAATCTCTCATCTCCCATGGTCCAACATCACCACCACCACCAGGGTTATGCCGGGGGCGCGGTGGGATCGCCTCAGTACATTCACCACTCATATGGACAAGAGCATCAGAACCTGGCCCTGGCCACGTATAATAACTCCTTGTCCCCTCTCCACGCCAGCCACCAAGAAGCCTGTCGCTCCCCTGCATCAGAAACTTCTTCTCCAGCGCAGACCTTTGACTGGATGAAAGTCAAAAGAAACCCCCCCAAAACAGGTAAGTCTTGCCATTCCGTGGTTGCTCCTTGATTGAGGTGGTGTGCTTAGTTTCTAAGGAAAATTAATATATATATATATATATTTAAAAGTTCTTGCTTCCATCAGTGTTATGGGAGCGTTGGGGGGTTGCCCAGGTGTGTTGGGGCAAAGGAAGGTCTGGGACTGTTGCGTTTCCAAAGGGGCTGAGTTTTAGAGGTTCTGGAAGTAGGAAGTGGGTAGGTGTGTGTGCTTGGGGGAATCCTAGTAGTATCTCTAGGCTCCATTCATCACCGGTCTGACCACGCTAATTGCTGGCTTCAGACGAACACTTTGCACCTCATCACTCACCCTTCCCAGCCCAGTCTGAGATGTTCTCCATCTCCTCTTTATCTGAATATCGTTCTGAACCTGTAGAGGATCTCATACCGACTGTTAAAATTGTACTTTTTTCTCCCATCGCTGCCCCAGGAAAAGTTGGCGAGTATGGCTACGTCGGTCAACCCAATGCGGTGCGCACCAACTTCACCACCAAGCAGCTCACGGAGCTGGAGAAGGAATTCCACTTCAACAAGTATCTGACGCGTGCCCGCAGGGTGGAGATCGCCGCGTCCCTGCAGCTTAATGAGACCCAGGTGAAGATCTGGTTCCAGAACCGTCGAATGAAACAGAAGAAACGAGAAAAGGAGGGCCTCTTGCCCATCTCTCCTGCCACCCCACCGGGAAGCGAGGAGAAGGCCGAAGAATCCTCAGAGAAGTCCAGCTCCTCGCCCTGCGTTCCTTCCCCGGGGTCTTCTACCTCAGACACGCTGACTACCTCCCACTGAGGCCGCCGCAGCCCCGGGCTCCGCAGCCTAGGCCACTCCTCAGGCTGGGACTTCTTACCCAAAGCACATTCTTCGCTTATCTTCCTTTCCGTTTGCAGGCTCTGTCTTTCTGATCCTATCTGGAGAGCTCCTGGGCAGGATAACGTCTTTCCAGAGAATTCTGGACTAGATGTTTGATTGGGGTGGGGTGGGGGAGCGGGCTGCTAACTCTTTAATGAGGATGGGGTGCCAGCACCGATTTTCTGATGACGCCCATTCTTAGGAGATTTCCACAGAATCTACTGTTCCTGTCAGATGTTCTTTGGAAAATAGTCTCCTTTGCCAGCAGAAACATGTCAAAGGGAAGCTTCACACCTTGTATCTATCTGTACATTTACAATTCTCCCCTACTTTGCCCTAGGGGAGACAGAAAGGATAGTGGTCAGGAGCTCATGAAGGAGAGATGCACTATGAACATGTTTACACATTTATTTCACCTTTAATTTAATTCAGATTCGTGTGTGAGTTTGCTGGTTGTAAATACTTTGTCCTGAGAGATTTATCTTTATACAGATTTTCTAGAGATGTTTGGATTTAGTGACTGGAGCAGGGTGGGCAAACTCTCAAAGCTGGTACAATTTTTGTATGATTACAGGTTAAAAAATAAAAGCCCTCATTTAAACTGAATAGGATGCCTCAGAGGGAGCTTCTATTCGTTCTTTTCGTGAGTTAGGAAGGCCTGCAGACCACTAGGTTCAGAAACCTTGCTTCCTGTGCTTGTCTCTTCCCATCCCCATCTTTTTCTTGTTTCTCTGGTCACGCTCTGTTTAAACTTTGTACTGGATTACTCGGAACCTAAAGGTATTATTCAAACCAGCTTCTTCCTTCCACAGTTATCTTAGCTGGATGTGATGTATTTTCAGCCCAATTGTTAATGTGATGGATGGCACAATGAATGTATATTTTGTGTGATTCGTGAATAGTCTTTTGCATGTCGCACAATGTTTTGATGTTCCTGAAGTACCACACTGAGTTCTATCAGTTATCCTTTGTGAGCCTATGATATTCCCCACTTCCTGTACAATCATGAACAGCTCTGAGATCCTGGAGTGATGTGATCCAGAGCAGAGTTTACGGGTCTTAAGAAGTCTGTAATAAATATATTCAAGTTTCAGATATGCTTGCAGATCCCTGTATTTGGCCTGGTGACAGTTTGTTGGTTCCTACAAAGTTGGGTCATTTCATGTGGGGAAAGGAAGAAGGGCAGTGTGCATTTTCAAAGAGGTGGGACTTTTCTGGGGGGGAAAAAAGTGCTTTCCAGTAGGTGGTTGAAGCGTCCCTTATGAGTATAATTGCACCTAACCAATATTTGTAATAGGTTGACTTTCTTTAAAACAACAACAGTTCCCTGATTATAATGAAAGTTCATAATGGAAAAAATGGTGAAGAAATTTATGAAGGAGATCTATTTTTGAAACAAACATGGGTACTTCCTGGGTCAAGTGCTAACCTTTTCACCCCCAGCTGAATGTTGACGTATATATAAACAGAACCCCCTTCAAAAGCCAAAGCTCTTCAGTCAGTCTTTCCTCACATCAGTGAACCAAGAGCTAAGAGATTCACGTTTAATTAGCTCCAGTATAAAGGTGTTTGAAGACCGGGACCCCACCCCACCCTTCTTTCTTTTTTTTGGATGGTCAGTGTTCCAATATTATTCACCCTTTGAATTGAGTGTGGTCTGTTTTCAGTAAACCCTGGCAGCCCTCCTCCCATTCCTCCTTTCAGTATCTATCCCTTCCTGCCACCCTCTACACCCCCCCATCGTCTCTAGGTTACAAATCTCATTTACATCCGATTCAGCTTTGATTTCATAGCCATCATGGCTGCAGTGGGTCTTCAGTTCTCAATTCCATGCCACATAACCCCGGAGTACAGTTTTGATTTTCTTCTCAGGGTTCAACAGGTTTTTCCAGGTGAACTTGTGGAAGCTGCTCTGAAGTCTTTCACTGTTCAAGTTGCTTCTGACTAAGGCATGTGTTTCTGCAACAGAGGAAGCTGGTGAATCAGAGAGTTCCAAGGGGCCCTGCTAGACTGCTTACCACTTTTCCTTTACTTACCACTTTTCCTTTACTTTCACATTTTTTAGAGGGTTTAATTTAGCCCCAAGGTTAGAACAGAAATTTTACAGCATCACAAACAAATACAGACGTATAACTTCCTTCCTCTACAAAGGGTGTTTTGCAAAGGATGGGCTGGTGTTCTGGGGGGGAGGAAATCCTACAAAAACTTAACATTTACAGACCTCCTAGAGCAACAATGAGATTTCTTGTACCTCCTTGTCAACGGGGAAAGCCTGGACTTTGCAGGCTCGGTGGCTGCGGCCATATCAAGGGCGCCCGGTGCCCTCCCCGCAGCTCCCGGGCTCTGGGTTTGCTTCTAAAAGACTCAAGTGGATGGGGGAGAACTTCAAAGTGGGCCAACTCTTTCTTTCATTTCCCCGCTTGCCCTTATACAGTATCTTTTGTTTATTAGTGTAAGACCACACAGCAAAACAGATGGCTGGATTCCAAATACTTTAATGTGTTAAAGTGTCATTTGCATGCCACTGCCAAAATTTCAATATCTAAAAGCAGGGCCTGAGCTGCTGGAATCCCGGAGATTCCAGTCTTCAAGGTGCTGGTTTTAATGTAGCCGAGAGAGAGAGAGAGAGAGAGAGAGAGAGAGAGAGAGAGAGAGAGAGAGAGAGAGAGCGCAATAAATTATGGCTAAATATCCCAAGCCTTCTCTAGGTTGTGGAATAAATCAGTTAATAAGCAATGCATTTAGGAAACATTAATATACCTTTCAACAAGAAAAACATTTGTATCTTTGTAGTTGTCCCAATCGATTAAATCAAAGGCGCTTAACACAGCCTATTTCAAGGTCTCTCTTTTTCTGTTTTGGTCTCTGAGGAGCACCTTGAAAAATGACAGCAATGGTAACTGAAATGACGGAAGAGGAAAAGCAGAAAATAACATTTTATCGTTAGATTTTAAAAGCACGAGCATCTCAATTAGGGACTTGGGATAAGCACAATATAAAATTCCAGTTTTCAAGTGTTTTTTCCTTTCTCCGCTCACATTCATTCAGAGTACTCCCGAAATTCTGGGAGTTCCCAAACTAGGCTGTGTTGAGATTGTGTTGCCAGCTCTGAAGTGTGCTCCGGGCTTCACCTTTGAAAGTTTACTTTTGGAGGCTATTCAAATGCCTTGGTGTTTTCCTCTGGGGCAATCAGATTCAAACCGATCAATATTTACTCAGTCTGAAAGGGTTGTTGAAAAGGCTGCTAACAACAAACTGCTTAGC